CTGCACTTCAGCCTGGGTGATGGAGTGAGACTCTGTCTCAAATAATAATAATAATAATAGCTACTATTTATGGTGAGTCTATGACGTGGCAGATTCCAAGCTAAGCATTTTACAAATATTATGTCAAATACTCAAAACAACCCTCTAAAGTATGTGTTATTGCTCCCATTAAGTGAAGAGAAAACTGAGGTTAGAAAAGTAAAAAGCTGTCCAAATTCCGACAACTTACAGAAGACTTACATCACACCTGTTACCAAAAGGATTTAAGATGGCTTAAAAAGATGAACAATACAAGATACCATTTGTGAAAAGTGGATGAGAAAGAAAAAAAGAAAGCAAAAGTAAGGATATAAAACAAAGTCAAGAATAAAGGTGAAACAAAAATACATTCCATAACAATCTAAATACTTGATACAGATCAGTGAAGAGCGCACAGCAAGTGGTAGACCTAGGACTGGATCAAGATTTAGATGCATCTGATGCCAGTGTCAAGTTGTATGCTTGCCAAGTTAACTGTGCTTCTTCACAAACCTTTTTATTCTACTTGTTCTTCAAAATAACAAATTAAATTTGTCATCAATGAAATATTTAACTTGTCATTAAATAAATTAAATTTGTCATCAATTAAATATTTAACTTCTCATTAATTAAATATTACAAAACTAATAACATAGAGCTAAAAGGGAGTTGTCGCTACCCTAAAAGCCAAGTTGAATGTTTTAGAAAGATAAAGGTAAGTTGCTTAAAAGTTTACTATCAATTTAGGTATTGGAAGCCAACTACAAACATTTGAAGAATTATAAATATCTAGAAAGATTTGACACTCAGAAAATAACTTCACTTGGAATATGTATTGTTATTACAATTCACCTCTTAACCAACTTTTTCAATTAGCCAATCCAGGTAAAAGCATCCTGCTTTGATATAAATTGTACTGTGAAATATTCCATAATCAGATTCTTCAGCCAGGTAGTCACACCTCTAGTCAAGATTTTTCATTCGGTAGGTGGTTTGTAAATACACGTGTAACAGTCATTGCTACTCTTCCATCTGCCCTACGTCACCTCCTTTTAGGAACTGCCCTTCCCTCACTCTATGTAATTCTAGTGAGGTTGTTACACCTTACCTGCCACAGGGTGGGTTGATGACCCAGGTTAGCCAAAGTGCCCCATTCTGGACATAGCAATTGGTCCAACCTTGGCCTATCAGAGTCCTTTGGAAGAAATGATTTGGATGTTGGGGGAAAGAGTTATTTCTTCTGGATTACTAGCTGGATGGATATGAAAGTTTGGAGTTGCCAGTGGCCATCTTTGTCAACATGTAATGAGACTCAACAAAGAGGAAAATAGAACAACATCCATAACCTCTACTGATATTGATTAATAAACTTCCAGACCTCATCTAATTTAAGTACTCGCTTGACTCAAATTTTGGCAATTTATCTGGTAACCTGGAACCAAATGATGCACTAGGTCAACCAGGTTTTCTCTCAAAACCTGTGTTTTGTTAATTACAAAACACAGAAAATACTGAACAGTTAACATAAAGTAAAAGGCCATGAGACAGCACTGGAGCTCTATAGGGTAATGGAAAGACAGAATTGTAAAGGAAAAAACAAGCGGACAGAGCAGATGTTCTGCAGATGTCCCACGAGAGAGAAAAGGAGTCACATATCTCTAGCACTGCTTAGATCCCTTATAGTTTTCCAGTACTAGATGCATATAAGATAGGAATGGTTCATTCATTTGAAATACATTTACTAAGAGCATGTAAATGTTTAATATATGTGATCGATTAAATTATAATAGAAAAAGATTCACTTCCTCTTTGTCACCTCCAAGGAAGGAGTTGTATTTCCCTGCCCCTTGACTTTGGCCAATAGGAAGTAAACACATGATGTGAGCAGGGGTTTAAAATGTGTTTCTGTGGTTGGGCTTGCTCTTATACCTCTGCTATCACCATGAGGACTTTAGCCCACTAGTCCAAAGATTAGAGACATATGGACCACATGTGCATCATAGAGATACCCAGGTGACTACAGCCTATGTCAGTCAGCTCCCAGGTGGTCCCCACATGCACCAACAAAACAAATATTAACTGCTGTATGCCACTGTGATGTTGTGGTTCTTACTGAGCAATAACTTACTGATAAAATACACTAAGGACTAGGTGCTATGCGCCATTTAAAGACTGACCTTACTCTCAGGCTTTCCACAGACACTTAACAACATCTACTAAAAACCAATTAACCAGGTCCTGTGCTAGATGCAGAGGATATAAACTAATAAAACATCACCTTTTCCCAGGGAGAATGCCCATTCTAGTAATAAAGAGAGACTCTGATCACATGATCATAAAATAATATAAGGGGCTCACTAGTAGAGTGGGCTGAGGGTTTAACTTAGCCCAGAGGCATTAGGGGTGGCTTCACAGAAGAGTAGTTTGAAATGGAAGTGTGAAGAATGAACAATCATTCACCAAGTAGAGAAGATAAAAAGACTCCAAGCAGGCAGATGTATACCAAAAGTTTCAATGTCAGAACGTGTGGGGAGGTCATGTAACAGCCACACCTGAAACTTGTCACTGTTCTTATTTAGACCGCAATTTATAATGAACGTAAATGCTGTAGCTTTTACTACACTAAGAATCACTGAAAGCCAGGCATCACGGCATACCCCTGTAATCCCAACTACTCAGGAAGATGAGGTGGGAGGATTGCTTGAGCCCAGGAGTTACCTGCCTGGGCAACAAGTAAGACCCCAGCTCATTTATTTAAAAA